CATGGATCCTTCTCAAAAATAGACCATATATTATGCCATAGGGCAACCCTCAGTAAATATAAAGGGGTGGAGATAATACCATGCATTTTATCTGATCATAATGGAATGAAACTGGAAATCAATGATAAAAGAAGGAAGGAAAAATCCTACATCACATGGAAAATGAACAATTTTCAATGATCAATGGGTTACAGAAGACATAAAGAAGGAAATCAAAAAATTCTCAGAGATAAATGAAAATACAGACACAACTTATCAGAATCTATGGGACACAATGAAAAATGCCAATTTTAAAATAAGACTCTGTGGCAGATCATCATGCTGGGGTTTTTCGGGTTAATTTTTTTTAATTTAATTTATACTTAACTGAACTTTAGTTGTTCATGATGGGCAGGTGGTGTTATTTCAAAGGGCATCACTTTTATACCAGTTCAAATAGAGCAACTTTCTAAAAATAATATATTAAATCAGTAGAACACTATGTTTTCCACTTTATACAAATTTATAGTTGTTGAAATCACTTTTATTCCTGTCACTGGGACCAATTTGTTTCAAATTCATCTGCTTCAGAGTTCTAGAAACTGGGAAGTCAACTGAAAGGACTATTTGTCTCAGAGTAGGGGAGTTGACCACCTGGGAGGATAAGGAGGTGTTCAGTGTGGTGGAAATGTGGTAAGCGACACTCCTGAGTGAGGGAGCAAAAAGTCCAGAGGGGGAATAAGCAGGGTCTGTGGGAATCTGGCATGCCCAGGGCAGAAAGGTATAAGACAGGTGGGAAGGGAGATGGAGCTGGAAAGAGAAGCAGGATCACATGGGGGGAGGTCCCATGGGAACTGATGATGCCAAAAAAAACACTTCTTGAAGAAACAAAACAGAGATGGTAGGAGCCAAAGGAGGAGGTTTGGACCACTTGGTTCTTCTGAGATGTTTTGTTCCCTGACAACTAGGTAAGATATTTATWGAGGGTASGGCTGTCCAATGCTCACTGTCCTCCCTGCCCCACTCCCCACTGGAAAATGGCTCCCTAACAACTGAAAACACAAGTAGAAGCCCCTGAGGGTGTAAGGGCCCTTTCCTGGAGGCTGCCCTGTGAGTTCATCACACAAAGTTGGGGACAAACGATTCTATGGTGGACCAGTCTTTCATGGAAGACAATATGCTCATGAGATGTCACAAGATGGAGTCCTTTATTCCATCAACCACTCTACAAGCACCAGCCATAGCATCCTGAGGCTCAGAACCCAAAGACCTCATCTTTAGAGAACATTGGGACTGGGGCCTTCTGGGGACTCCCAGTGGTGGGCAGAGTAGTGGGTGGGTTCACTCTTTCAAGAGCTATAGGCCTGGTAACCAGAGTGAACCTTATGGATTTGCAAAAGGAGGATCTGGGCCTTCCAGGCCATAAGTACACCCAGACTTTGAGTGTGGAGGACAAACTTTCAGGGAAGACCCTTTGCATGCATGGGGTGGTGGCTGTCTGAATGNAGTGCTATTAGTTAAGAGACAGACTCCTCTAGGAAACTAAGGACTCCTCGAAGGCAGAGACCATGTTCTGCCCAAGCAGAAAAGATACAATTGAGGTCCTTGCCCTTCATGAGGCTTCTCAGTCTGAAGGACTGCATGGGGCCTGGACTAGAGCCAGAAGGCCTGACTTSAGTCTGGGAAGGTCATGGCCCCTCTACACCTAGTGTTCCTTATCTGTAAAAGGCTAATGGGGTCTCTTATGTGCCCTGCAAATATAGCTTTGACTGAATCAGGAAATTATTATGCATGTCTTCGAGAAGGGTGGGAAGGAATGAGAGGAAGAATGAGCCAAATCCAGGAGAGGAATGAGAAACTGTTCAGGTCCCAAKCTGGAGCTGTCAGTCAGCTTGCCTCTTTCTTTTTTTTCCTGCCTCAGTGTGGGTCCCATGGTTCTTCAGATTGTTGGGGCTCTGCACCATGATAACTGGTGGCTGCATCCTCTTACTACACTGGAGGAAGAACCTGCAGAGGAGGCAGCGTGCCCAGCAGTGGGTGGAGGTGATGAGAGCTGCCACCTTCAGTTACAGCCCACTGCTGTACTGGGTCAACAGACGATGCAGACATGGCATGACTGCAGCGATCAGAATAGGCCCTCCTCAGGCTGTTGCCAATATTGACATTCAACTCCAAATTCCGGATCTTCCATCAGAGCCGCACCTCCATGAAGACAGGCGTCATGCCTTCAGAGGCAGCAGCCCCCAGGCAGAAGCCCCCGTTCCCCTGCAGCCTGCTCTGGTGGTCCCACAGCAGCCCTCACCTAACGGGATGCCAGAGTGACAGACCCCATCCCCCTTCCCAATTGTCTTTTGGGAGATCCCCTCTGCCCCAACCCTCTGCAGCCTGAACTTTTCTCCCATACTGGAGCATTCTGCCTCCTACCCCTTTCTTGAGGGTCCTGAAAGCCATGTCCACTTCTATTCCCTTTCCACACTGACCCAATGGGTGAACTGACCCAATGTGTAGACTTTTGCTTGAGGATTGTAGCCTCCTCTCACTGAAAGTGAGAGTTTCAGGTGCCAGGTATTAGAAAAAGGAGTCAATGTCAAGTATGTGATCTTGACACACAGGTAAGAGACCATTTAGAAGTTAATTAGTAAAGTTTTTGAAATTTCAGAGTCATTTGCATCTAATTTGCCAGGAGAAAGGCAATGTCCTTCCCCAAGTGTGATGGTGGCACAAGTCTCACCAATACAATGAGAACTGGAGGCTGGCTCTGAAGAGACACATTGAGCCAATATTTGTGGATGAGCAAAATTCCCTCCAACAAGTATTCAATGTGTTCAAGACCCTGGGCTAGGTCCCCAAAGGCACTGCTGTTTTGCAGGATGGGAAGTAAACTTGCCACAAGAGTAACAGTGCCTGAGGGTACACAGCCATGCCAGTCCACAGTGACTATGCCACTTACCAAACAAGTCATCATGAGGTCAGTGAATCTCACCACATTATGTTCTGACTTGGTGATACCTATGATGTATCAATTCTTAGCTGATTGTTTCTCTACATTATTTCTAACAGAACAACACTGCAAAATGGCTATTATGATTTTTCTTTTACTGATGAGACAGATTCCAAGGGCATATGCTATTTTCTTCTTTTTTTGTTATTTTCTCTGAGCCTCTTCTCCCATTTACATCTGCCTGGCATTACACTTTCTGGTCTTTCCACCCCATGGTATCCCTTCCCTAATCATGTCTTCTTAAAACATCCTTGGTGAATGGATGCTTCACTGTGTATGGATTGTCATCAGCTTGGTCTACAGATTTGCTTACTGAAAGGGCTGGTGGTAACCACCTAATATTACATGGAGTAACACATCCAAAGCATGTATCTTAAGATATCCATGACTACACGAAAGTTGTATGTAAGTGGGTTTTTAGAGATGTCCCTTCCTGAGATTGTTACAGAAAGACATGAAAGCCTGTGCTCTCCCATAAGGTAGCTATGAATCTTTATGCATGTAATAGATTTTGGAGAGTCCCACACCATTGCTGCTACTGAGAAATTGTGGAAATAGATCATGTAGG